ATTTTATGGCGATAAGAAAAATCCTATTTTCTCTCTCGTCCATTGAGGGACACAGTCTTTCATTCCATTGAAAGATGTCCAAATGCAGTCCAGTTAAGGGATGGGCAACACAGCAAATGAAAATAGGCCCAAGAAAATAACATTCTGGAGGACTACCTGTAGCTCAAAGGGCTGCCTGAAGGACTTTACGCTCAAAGCAAACATCAGAAGAGATTGCAACATCCACCTGGTAGAACTTAAGGAACCTATGAGCAGAAGAACACGCTGGCAGCCTTGCACATCTGGGAAAAAGTAACTTGATGCTGAAAAGCCAGAGAATCATTCACAGGCATTTTGACAGGAAGGGGTGGAACTGGATTCATTAGACCATGCACTTGGATGATAATCTGTCTAAGCCATCTAGAGATGTGTCAGGAGCTATCTGGCAGCGTGGAGTGGAACCCACTGGCAGGAAGTAGCCTGAAGCGTCCGAAGGCAGAAGTACAAAGGTGCAATCCAAAAGAGAAGTCAGGGTCCAATCCAGGTCAAGGCGGGCAGCAAGGGTTCAGGGGCGAAAGTCAGTCCAAGGTTGGAAACAGGGAGTCCAGATGAGGGGTCGGGAAGCAACAGCATGATATACAAATGGGGAGCTAGGTAATCACATCATAGGGTGGAATAACTCAGCAACAAGCCAGAGCTCTGGCCAGGTTTTTATAGCCAGGGGATGTACTCACCCCCCGGTCACCGAGGCAACCAGGAGGCTTCCCTCCCCGGGAGCCAATGGCAGGCGAGAGAGGTGGAAGGTGTGTGCTGGGAACCTCCCAGAGACTCCTTAGGGTGGAAGCCCCTAAGCTTGAAGTGAAGTATACCTTCCATGTTAAATAATGGATTGTGGCAAAAGTAGACTTCGTAGCTTTGAACATCGTAGAAATCACCAGTTCAAAGATGCCATAGTCTCTCAGAACCTGGGCTTCAACATTTCAGTTCACAGTTTAGCCATGCTACTTACTCAAGCAAATATGAAGCAGGATGGTAAATTGGTCCTTGAGATCTCAACAAGCTGGTGGAACCCATGGTGTGTCTGCCAGTCTTACCAGCTTGGCATACTACAGCTGCCAGGGCCAGTTCGGAGCAATGGGGATCACTTGAATGATCAACATGTTGGAAAGTGTAGGCACATCTTCAATACTGAGGAAGGTTTGTCTGAGGATTTAGCAGACTTTGAGCCCTAGACTTTACGGGTGGCCTGGAAGCCAAGCTTTAGGGGTCTGGATGTAGATTGTGCAAAAGTACAGAAATAAAAGGGACATTTCTTAACTGATAGAGCTTACTTTGCAATGTGTTCCTAAGGGTTGTTCTTTGCTGAGGAAGACGGGTGCTCTGGCCACCAGTAGCCCATCCAATCTGCAGAGGAAGATGGAGCATGCCTGTGGCCTTTGCGGTCAGCAAATAACTGGGTGATTTGGGCTATAAAGTCTTGCATGACTGTAGTAAAAACCTCAGCCAAGAGGGCAACAGGTTCCTAGGTTGCAGACATTGCCGAATCCATGTGAGTTGGGGGCACTTGGTATGACGGGACTGTTCCCCCGTATTTAGAATCAGGTAAGCTGTGACCGCATTGAATTACACTCAAAAAATTCTACCAATGCATCCCTCTATGTATGATGATTAATAATAACAGACATGTCAGGTGTAAAATGCTGTGATTGTGAAATACTTACACTTGCAGAGCATTCACTTCCTGCTTTGAAAGGGCAAAATTACTTCAGTTTGCCCAAGCAATGCACACTGAGATTGTCTTAACAGCAGAGCATTGCTGGGAAATCTCATGACATCTCAGGGAAAGGCATTTCCCTCCCCTGAGATGATGTGCATGGTCACATGTCCTAGTCACATGTGCCAGAAATCCAGGAAGTAAAAGAGCTAGTAATCTGCCCTTAGTAAACATGGCCGCTGTGAGAAGACTAGGGAAGAAAAGGGAGATAAGGAATACAAAGAATACAAAACCGGCAATTATCTAGAAGTATGTTTGTGTAGATTGTCATTACTAAACATTTCTAAAGGTGTGTTTGTTGTTATTTGAAAGAAATGGGTAAAGGTCCGGTTTAAGGCAATGTAAGGGTCAGGGAATGATGCAAGGCCTCAGGTACTCACCAAACCCAGACAGCTTGTTGCAGGTGAATAAAGGATGGCTGGAGATGACCAAAGTCAATGTAGGTGGGCAGCAGGAACTGATCAAAGAATGAAGATCCTCCCACAAGCCCAGCCTAACATTACTGGGGTACTGCTAGCAGCCAAAGTGCCACCTGAAGACCAACACCCAAATCTGAGACCTGGCGACACAGAGCCCCCGGTATGAAGGGGGAGCAGACAAGGGACCAAAGGAAATAATTAGACTTGATGCTCCAGATCAAGAACATAAGGATCACCGCCAAAAGGGAGGTAACTCCATATCTTATACCCCTTCAGGTCAGGGATTGGAACGTTGGTCCTGCAGCGGGCTCTTGGGCTGCCCCGTTCGGTTTCGTTGAATCCGTGACAGATTGTTTTGTCAGCTAGCTAAAGAGGCTCCCAGGATTTAATAATATCCGGTATGAATTAACTAGCAGCTCTTGGTGGTAGTATCTTCAACAAAGAAACAAAAACTAAAATAATAAAGCAGAAGTGGAGACATCCATTCCCCTGAGGACACTAAACGAAACTGGCAGTTGTAAGGTGGAGGGGTTTTGCCCCTTTAAATGGTTCAAGAACACACTCTGACACCACCACATGTGATGATGACTAAGCCTTATGCTGTGAGCTATCTTTTTTTACTCACAGGTAAACACACTTTGTTTTCCTTTGTTAGAATTCCTTGTCTTCCACAGCAGCTGGATTCAAGACAGCTCCTTACATGTGAGATTGTGGGTCTGTTTCCCGAACATGTGCAAATTCCTCTCACTATCTCCGTTTGCTGCATCTCAATTCACATTCTGCCTTTCTATACAAGTTTAAAATGTGATTGGTGGCTGTGATGAACTTAGAATTGACTGACATACCAGATTTTCTGTATGTGAGAAACAGCAAGAATCCTGCAGTGTGTACACATGGGACTCTCTCTTGCCATAAAGCTACCTTGTCAGGGTAAAAGAAGAAGCTAAAGACTGGCTCACTGCAGTGGAAGAGGCAATATACTCGCCTCTCAGGCATGCTGCACCTCCTACCTCCCCTCTGTTCCAGCACTGCCGCCTCAGTCTGTTTCTTCAGCAGTCGACACTTCGAGAAGTGTTAGATGCCGAGTTCCTGCCACATGCTGTGGTTCCCATGTCAATGGAGGACGCAACATTGACACCGGGGTTGCAGTACAGAATGCCAGCAAGTGGCAGGGGACACAGGGATGTGACACTCCCGGAAGAATGCTGAAAAGACTGACGGAGGCTGCAGTGCCTGAACGAAGGGTGGTAGGGAACACAGACCACCATAGAGGTGAATATAAAAAGGTCTTCTATTGAAGGGAACTTGCCTTTAGGATTTTCTCTACCTAACAAGGTCCTTTATAAAAAAAACAAAAAAAAAAAAAAACTGTAGGCAAAAGGTTTTCCTAGTTACCCAGAAAGAGAGTATGGAGGACCAGTGCATCAAAACTGTGCAAGGACATAGATTATTGCCTTACACGTGTAATTTCTGTATTTTGTGAAATGTCCCGTGTTTATTTTTGTCAAGGTGAACCTGTTTCTTTGCCTTTCTGTGTTAAAAATTTTAAACTTGAATAAACTCAGATTGAACTAAAACTGTGCAAGGATAAACAAAACGGAACCCCTGAGAAGGCACTGAGTGCCTTGTGTGTATTTCAAATGTTCCACTTTACATTTTAACAGAGGAGAAGAAAAACACGCCAACTAGAAATGTCAATTTCATTATTTATTACTGTTTGGCTACATTCTCTACATTTCAGCAGCATCTTAAAGAGACAGTTAATGTATATTTATGTACAATGAAAAATGAAAATCGCAACATTGGAAACGAGAGCCACAGTCAACTGTACAATATTAAATGGTTATCTGTCTTAATACAGCCTCTTTTTTTTTTCTGTAACATGAACAAAATTACACAATTGCCTTTGAAACGTTATAAATGCTATTGGATGCTGCAGAGGTCGTCGAGCTATTACAACACGCCGCAACAGCTGCTCTACTCTGTCAGCAAAGGGCTGCCTTAATGTTGTGCAGTAGAGAAGTACAGCGGTCTTGAAAAATCAGATCTAGCATACTACATAATTAGAAAGTAAAAAATAAAAATCATGTCTGTTGTGATCTAACACCATTTTAAGCCAGCAAAAGGAATTGTATTTTTACACCGACAGTCTCCTGCATCAAGGAGCTTCCCAACAAGTAAAATGTCCAAACAAAACCTCCTTATTATGTCATCAACATGCCAATGTAAGATACCAGGAACAGGCTCACATTACTGTCAATGATGGGTTACACATGCTTGTTAGTGAACAGTCTAGGACCTTAAGCGGTTTGATTTGCTCCTTTTACGGAAACAGTTTAAAAATTTGCAAAATGAGAAGTTATTTTAGCAGCAAATGATAGCGCCATCGAGGAGACATAAATATATATATCTATATATATATTTGCAAACATTTGTAAAAGGTGAAAAGCTGCTGAAAACACATTTATAACTGAAAATGACATCTGTACAACAATATACACCAGCAACAGAAGGGAATTTCTCATTATCCTGCATAGAAAACTTTAGAGTTTTGAGAGCTTTTGGTACCTTACTGGATGTCGTATGTGTGCAAGAATTTAAAACAAAAAACAATAAACAAGGGATAAGAAATGAGGTGGAATGATTAATAGAGATGTAAAATCCTGAAAGCGAGGGTGCAACTCAAAACTTTACCTTGGAAAATAAAACAAAGTGACAGGTCCTTGTGTGTGTAGTGCCTGAAAGTAATGTGGAGGTGTCTAGCAACCAGATTCTCTGTCCTTTTCTAACCTCCATTTAAAAAAAAAAAACAGGACTGCTATGGGTAATACCTTCACATTTCCTTTCAGACAGTCGATATATAAGTGGCCCAAAGTGATAAAAAAAAAGAAGACCTAGAAAATAGATCTTGTGACTACCCCTCTCTTTCAGCTTTGGTTTCAACGACAGTTGTCCAAGAATGGGCAGCAAGCGTTCCCTTATGTAAGTCTTATTTTAATCTTGGATTTCAATTTGCTTTAGTATATAATGAAAAATGCCTATCATGCTAAAACTCTCCAGTATCAACCAATTGTGTTTTAGTATTACAAAGAATATTTACAAAGTCCCCTCTAACGGAAAAAAAAAAAAAGAATAAATCTCCATGTTGAACAGCAATCAAACCTGGTTTCGTATTCACGCTCATGTGCGCCTTGACGCAGGCCCCTAACCCATAATATTACACAGGGTCAGGAGACAGGAGTCCAGGTTATTCCCAGTAGCTTGAAAATGGCTTTATAGCACACCGAGGCCAAGGTCAAACGTTACAGTCATAGGATAGAGGTCTTCACAGTCTTGTCTTCGCTCATCATACAAATAACACTAAGAAGATACGTCCCCCAAAACACACAAATGTCTCCAAACACATCCTCTGTCATGGGGAAAAAGAAAAAAACGAAAAGAAATACTCAAATCCTTGCTTCGGCTTCAAACTAAAACTTGCACCTGAAAGCTAGTGTGGGAGGATTCATGCCAGCCAAGATCCGAGTATCAGTATGAAATGATGCTTGACGTAGGTGTGGTGGGAGAGGCCACTAGCCCTGACATGTGCAGGTTTCCTGAAGAATTAGATCTCCTCATGTGTGGGAGAAGATAGGCTTCATGCGCCAGCTGGTGAACATCGAATCTGTCTTCTTTGCGGTAAGCTAAGCACCGCCTGATAAACCCCTATGCGGAAAGGAAAACACAATCACAATGTTTATTTCGGAACTCCAGGCAGATGAAAAACAATACATACATACGGTACATAGATACATACACACAGTTTTACCTGCCCCACCAAAATACTTGTAGTATTATAACTAGGGATGCACCAATATATCGGCCGCCGAAACATATCGGCCGAAAATGGCACTTTTGGCATAATGCCGAAAGTGCCATTTTCCTGCTGATACAATGGCGAACCCCTGCTTTCTTTCCTTCCCGCTAGGCGCTGCTCTGTGTCCTAGCGGGGAGGAGAGAAACTGTGATAGCCGGCCAAGTGCTACGAGCGGCCGGCATCTCCTCCCACACCGCTCAGCCTCATATCACAGTCCAGCAGAGCGGTGTGTGGGCGGAGACAGGCCGCGCTGTCACAGGAGGCTGAGCTCTCCTCCCTACACCACTCGATCAGCCTCCTGTGACAGCGTGTCAGGAAGGAGAGCGGTACAAACACTCCGTGATCAGTGATCGCTGAGTGTTTGTAGATAATTGAGTATATGGAATGTTTACTATATCCTCAATTATGAATGAATGTAAAGTAATCTACATCACCTCCTGGTCATTCATAGTTGTAGTTATAGTAAACACACAATGTTCTCAAGTTATGAATGATCAGAAACACTCAGTATAGAGGCTTCCTGTTCATTGATAACAGGGGATACAGAAAAAGAGATTTAGGACTCTTTTTCTATTTCAAAAAGGAAATATCAGGGGTCTGTTTAAACCCCTAATATTTCACCGAAGAACCTAAAAGTGAAGTAAAATATTTTTTAAAATGTGAAAAAATTAAAATAAAAAACATTTTTTGTATCGGTTTAGGCCCGACAATTTTTTTTATTTCGGTTTCGTTTCAGGTTTTAAAATTTCCATTTCGGTGCACCTCTAATTATAACCCCCCCCCCCAAGAGCATCAATATAACATTTCTGTTTTAC